ACTAAAAATAGAAAGAAATTAATTGGACAACTAAAAATATATAGAAAAAAATTAGCCGGGCACGGTGGTGCATGCCTGTAGTCCCAGCTATTCGGGAGGCCGAGGCAGGAGGATCGCTTGAGCCCAGGAGTTGGAGGTTGCTGTGAGCGAGGCTGATGCCACGGCACTCTAGCCCGGGTGACAGAGCGAGACTCTGTCCCAAAAAAAAAACAAAAAAAAATGCAGGCAGTTTTGGTTTGCGATAAAGATCTCTGGGCCCTGATTTTCTAGGTTTAATAGCTCCGCGGCCCACGGCCAAGTCACCCGAACACTTTGCATCTCGGTTTCCGCTCCTGGCCCACAGGACCGAGCTCACGGGTCGTGGGACGTACCGAGAAAGAACTACAGACGTGTAGGCGCTGTCCTCTTTCTTACCCGGGCGGAAATCTGAAGTACTGAATGTGTGTTAATATTCCACCAACCCGGATAATAAAGTGCAATAGCGCAAAGTCAGAAACAAGCAGGGGGTCGGAGAGTCCTCGGCCGCCTGTGAGAACAGCGTGGCCCCTTTTTGTATCTGCCTCCGCCCTCCACTCCCAAGACCCGGGTGGGGGAGAGGCAGGTGGCAGGGGGAGGCTGGAGCCGGCACGTTTGTGTGCGGGACTTATCAGGGCCTTGACTCTGTGAGGGGTGGAGACATCTCTGAGGCCGCCTAGGCAGGCCAAGCCAGGATTCTGGAACACCAACCCCACACTAGGGCTTTTCTCCAGGAAAGGGAAGGATTTGGGGGATGAGGCCAGAGGGCTCCCCGGTTTTGAGGTCTTTTCCGCAGTTCCCGGGGACCCCAAAGTGAGGGAGCACCTCGAGCTTCCTCTCCAGTAAGGCCACGGAGAGGAGCCCACGGCCGTTGGTCCCAAAGGTTGTCCAGACGCCCCCTCGGTCTCCTCCCACCTGGTTTAAACGCTGGCTCTACTGACAGTGCCCCAAATAGAGGTCTTGGAGCCTCGTCTCTCTCTCCCTGTCCCCATCCAGGCCCCGGCTTGTGTCACGAAATCCAGGTGGGTGAAATTTCCACGGGGCGGGGGCTGTCCGGAGCCTCATTCCAAGTGCGAAGGGGGCTACAGCAAGAGAGACCCGAGTCAGACACAGTAAGGACTTCCCACCTGGCGGGACTCCAGGTGGAGGAGACCGTGAGGTGCTGGGTGGAGCCTTCTCGCCCTGTGCTGGAGACAGAGGACGAGGGCTGCCCGCCGATGGCTCCCCCGCGGACGTCCTGAGTCCCCCGTCTGTCCTCAGCCGCGGCCTGGGCCTCCTCTTGTTGCAGCAAGGAAGATGGAGCCCGAAAGCACAAGCGGCTACGTCGACCAGAAGCGGCAGCTGTTCCTCGTCCAGGTAGGCCCGGCTACCTGCGCGGAGAGGGAGGCCGGCAGCGGGGACCGGGCCGGGCCGGCCGGCGCCGTGACTTCCGCTCCGACGGGTCCCCAGTACGCCCTGGAGATGAAGCGCGTGGAGATCGGGCGGCTGGAGACGCTGGTGGCCAGGGAGGAGGCCAGGCTGGAGCGGGCCGAGAAGTCCCTGCAGAGGGACGCGGCTTTGTTTGACCAGTTCCTCAAGGACAACGACCGCAGCTCGGTGCAGGCCATGCGAGTGTGAGTCCGCCTGACCCGGTGACGCCGTCCCCTCCGGCGTCCCCTGGCCCCGCCTCCCCCCCCCCGTAAGTGGCAGGATCCACCGAGACCCCCAGGGCTCGGGGACAGTCTGCGACCAGCCCCTGGCTGCCCCCACCCCGCCCCACAGGGCCGAGAAGGAGACCAGAGCCAGGATAGAGAAGATCTTCGAGATCCAGGACCTCAGCAGCCAGATCACGAATGTCAAAAGGTGAGGGCGGCCGGGCGTGGTGGCTCAGGCCTGTGATCCCAGCACTCTGGGAGGCTGAGGCCGGAGGATCGCTCGAGGTCAGGGGTTTGAGACCAGCTCTCTACTAAAAATAGAAAGAAATCAGCTGGACGACTAAAAATATGCAGAAAAAATTAGCTGGGCATGGTGGCGCATGCCTGTAGTCCCAGCTACTCGGGAGGCCGAGGCAGGAGGATCACTGGAGCCCAGGAGTTGGAGGTTGCTGTGAGCGAGGCTGACGTCACGGCACTCAAGCCCGAGTGACAGAGCAAGACTCTGTCTTCAAAAAAAAAAAAAAAAAAAAGGAAATGGAGGCCAGGATGTAAGGATTGCTGGAGGCTAGGAGTTCAAGACCAGCCTGGGCAACATAGCGAGACCCCACCTCTACAGAAAATGAGAAAAATTAGCCAGGCGTGGTGGCGCGTACCTGCAGTCCCAGCTACTCGGGAGGCTGAGGCAGGAGGATCGCTTGAGCCCAGGAGTTGGAGGTTGCTGTGAGCGAGGCTGACGCCACGGCACTCTAGCCC